GCATTCCAGAGAGCTGCAGGTTGTGATGATTGGGAAGATTAGAATTGGTAAGAGTGCAACAGGAATGGACAGAATGTGGCTGTTGTTGATACTCCTGGTTTGTTTGGAAGCACAAAATCAGATTTGTCCAGTTTGCCTGATGTCCAAACTCAAGATAAAGTGATGAACAAAATCAAAGCGTGTGTGACACTTGCTTCACCTGGTCCTGTTGCGTACCTGGTGGGGGTCCATGTCAGCATATTCACATAGTACGAATAGCAAACAGTGAAAATAATCTAGAAAACCTTTGACAGAGAAGCAGCACATCACACCATGACCCTGTTCGATCGAGAAGATGATCTGAGGACAGACGGAGGTTCCAAAGAGGATTTAATGAAAGCAGAGCCAGCTCTGTGTGACTTCATCAGAGAATGTTGTGGGGCACACCATGTTTTTGACAACAGACACACAGATCCCTCGCAAATGATTGAGCTAGTACAGAAGATCAACAGCATGTTGCAGAGACATGGAGCAAGTGGCTGCACCAAAGACAGAAGGGGAATCCTCCAGAGAGAAAAACAAGAAACAGAAGCAAGAAGAGAAGCTGAAAGAGGCAGTGTATGTATACTGTCTGCCTTAAAGGTGCAGTTACTGTAGCGTGCACTGCAAGTGTATTACTATAGTTTCTCACAACTCAGGAGGATTTTCAACAAACACCATATCTCTGTGCACTTTAAACCCAGTAACACACAGAGACAGAAGCTTGTCCACCCCAAGGACAAAACACCCAGACATAAGCAGAGTATTGTAGTGAATGCAGTTCAGTGCAGCCAGGAATGCACAGATTTGTACATTAGGGAAACTATACAACCACTCCACAAGCACATGGCACAGCACATGAGAGCCAGCTCCTCAGGTCAAGACTCAGCTGTCCACTGGAGAAGGGACTTTTCCTTTGAGGACAGCAATGTGCACATATTGTCCAGGGAAGAAAGATGGTTTGAAAGAGGTGTAAAAGAAGCCATCTACATTGACCTGGAATGAGAATCGTTAAACACAGGAGGTGGATTACGACACCACATATCACCCACCTACAATGCAGTCTTGGGATCCCTCCCCTGACGACTTAACACCCATTCACCCCTGGTCCCACCTGATCCTAACTTTTTTTTTTTCTTTCTCTTTTTCTTCTACTTGTCTGCATTGGTCTTCATAGCTTAGCGCCACTAAAGGGTGTAAGCTTCTTGTGAAGATTGATGCACTGTTAATCTTGCAGTCAAGTATTTTATACCCATACTGTGCGTGGTTGTGACCGTCACCCACCCTCCCTGGAGACTAGCCTAACAGACTTTATTGGAAAAACTTCCTAATATGAGTCAGAGAGGGCCGAGATACACCAAAGTGTGTCAGGGGGAAAGTAAGGAAACAAGCAAAGGGGAGGGGGCAGGTGCTTAAGTCCTGAGTTTATATAGTGACAGTGCATGTGGAGAAGAAGGAGGAAAAACAAACAAACAAATAAACAAACAAACAAAAAAAAAAAACAGGGGAGAAACAGGCAGTGTAGCTGATGTATTGTGGCCTTGAGGTGGTTGTGCTACATGCAGATTATCAAAAATAAACATATACATGTCTACTATACTGTACTGAAAAACAAAAACAAAAGAGAAGTCTACACTGAACACCAAAAATGTGAGAGTCTTGGTGGAGGGGGAAAGCCCAATTGCAGAGAAGAGTTGCCAGCGCGGTGTGGTAGGTTTGAGAGGCAAGTGGGCCCCTTTGGAGTGATCCCATCGGTTCTTTGCGATGCGTCACAGAGCTGAAGTATCAAACATGCATGCGTGTATTTGAACCCTCCCGCGAAGGGCCACCCGCCCGAACCCCCCAGGACGGGCCCCCACCAACACACAGGAGAGAGCGGCCCGCCACGAGCAGTCAATCCCCCATTGGGACCCCCTAGCAGAGGGCCCATAAACCACAGCCGGTCAGGAGGCAGAACCCCGGCAGGAACCCACAGAGCCCCCAGGGCGCCACCCGGCCCACCCGCCACAGGGCCACGGGACCCCCCAGACACCGGGAACCCAGCCACACCACCATGATGTAAATGGGCTCCCTGGCTCCAACCCTCAGCCCAGAAGGGCCGGGCCCCACGAGCCACGCCATGCGTATCTACAGTGTGTGTAAACCCACCACCCCCCCTCTTACTATGATTTTCCGTTCCCTGACGGGGAAACATTAACCCTACACCGTGAATGTGAATGTGAGTGCCCATAAGTGTGATGTGGTGCATTAAAATTGAGGGACATAGGAGACAGGTGGGGGCAAGGCTGATGGCTACAGCACACTGCTGTCCTGCAGCCCGTGCAGCCATAAGGCACCTGGAACCTGTTCCCATCTGTCCCGCAAGATGTAGGTGTATGTGGTGCTTTAAAATTGGAGAACAGATAAGGATGGGCCGGAGGGCTGCATGGAGGGCTACCGGACACCACTGTCCCATAGCCTGCCCCATCATGAAGCCCCCCAATCCATCAGTGGTCTGCACCTCGAAGAGTGAGTGTATATGGTGCATTAAAACTGTGGAATGTGTGGTGAGTGAACTAAATGTGGTTTAGGAGGCCAGGCCAGTGTAGGCCCGGCCCGAGGGCTGGAGGGATGGATGGGAGGGGCTAGAAGGTGGCGCCAACCAGACCCCGGCGCCGCGAGGCCCCCAGCGCCCATGGACAACGGGCCAGGCGGGCCCCAAGGAAACCCAACGGGCCCCCACCCAACCCCGCCCCCCAAGCAACTGCAGCGTCAGGCCCCCGCAATAGTCCCGACCTGGGCCACACCGCCCGCAGCAAATCGACCCCCAGCAGAAGGACGAGGCGCGCCACCAGGGCGCACGGACGACGGGCCCCACCCAGCCCCCCCGAACCCCGACGCGCAGGAGCACAGGCCAACCCGCAACCCCGCCAGTACCCCCCCAGACCGCCACAGACCCACAGCCGGACCCCCAGCCCATCCGACCCGCCCCCTACCGCCGGCCGCACACCAACAGGCAGGCCCACACTGCGCAGCACCAGAACACCCCCCGCGGGCAGCACCCAGCCCCCACACCAGGCCCCCCAGGTCCCACCTGATCCTAACAACACACATGATAGCCAGGTGGGTCAACAACTCACATGTGACCTTAACGACTCTGAAACTAAGAGCCCACATGTGACCCCTACGACTCTGCAAGGGTTCCCACCCACACAGGGTTTAAAGCCTGCAACTCCGTACCAGTCATTTGGAACTGAAGAAGCTTCTTGGATAAGAGGCAAAACATCTTCAAGAAACGCAAGCAAGTCCAGTTGCCTACCATAAAGCACTTATGATTACCATGACCTGGATGACTTAGAATCTTCACCATCTATCTATCTATCTATCTATTGACCATTTTCACTAAAAAGAAAGGGCCTCAGTGCAACCACGCTGCCTGCATTGTCTATATTTACGCCCCTGCATGTGACTCTTTTAGAGCCTGCCGCCCGTTATAGTAACCTTTGGGCCAAAATTATGCAGTGTCGGAAGAAATAATCAAATATCTATATAGTACTAAAAACCCAGTGTAGAAATACTTTGTTATGGGTAAAGGTCTTGCATTCCAAATTTTACTTCAAGGTTCTGTATGTAACTTTCAGGAAAACCTTGTTCTTAGTGACACCTCTTCCTGAGGCCGTTATGTGGAATGTGGTCAGCCTCCTCCGAGCACCTGCACTGGCCACAACAGTGACTAACAAGAGACTGACCGGTCATGTGCAGGACTGCCTATTAAACACATGGTGGCAGCAGCACTCCACTAACAGGGGAAAATATCAACATTTCTTTTTGAAGAGCAGTGTACAGCTTTTTGGTGAACACAGATACCTGGGATCTGGTTTAATATGCACAAAGTTTTGAAAATGAGCAGAAATCTTGCCAAAAGACATTTGAGTTATTAAAGTTCAGAGGTTTATGAATTAATTATAAAAAAATGAATTTTTCATTGATGCAACATACTCATTCAAAGAGGTCACTTCCTTAACCCTTTGAAACCTGAGGAAATTGTCTTGAATTTTGTCAAAAACATGGGAAGACATCAATGAGCAACTTGAGAAGACATTATTAAAAAGTACACGAAAATTACCTAAAAAATGGCAAAAAAGAAAAAAAAAAAATACAAGAAATTTACCCGAAAAATTTGCAAAAAAAATAAAAAAATAAAAAGTACATAAAAAACTGAAAATTGGCAAAAAATAGTAAAAAGTCCAAGAAAATTAACTGAAAATGAGCATAAACAAAAAAGTAAAAAAAAAAAAAAAAAAGTACAACAAAATTCACTGAAAATTTGCAAAATTTTCTGGACATATTTCCCTAGCTTATTTTTAATTATTGTTATCATTATTTATGCCATTTTTATGTTCTAAATCTGCAGGACATTTCTTGCCAAGTTTCTTATTATCTTTCCCCCCCATGTTTCTGAAGAAAATCAAGCCGACAGGGTTCAAAAGTTTAAACAAAAAGAGGAGGGAAGAATAAATCATGCCTCCATATGTGTTGAACAAGCTGTAGATAACATTAAATGAGAAAAGCTAATTAGGAGAATAAATAGCCTATATGAAGCAATACAGAATACCAGAGAGTCTTGCAGCATTATATTACATTATATTTTGAATCGTCACCTATTGCCCAATTTTGTGTTTTTCTTTACATAGATAGACATGTCCACCATAAACTGGTGCATAAAACCTAACAATGCAGGGAATGAGGTGTTTGATACTTAAAATTTACAGGGGGAGGACCCCCACACCCTCTGGCTGAATATGTATCCCCACCAATGTACCTTGGAGGTACCAAACTGTGAAAACCTTGAACACAGGCACAAATAAAAGCAGTACTTTACTCTAAGTGAAGGATCTAAAAACCTCCACGTCAGCTTGTTGGCTTGTTTGGCTTTTACGTTTAGAATAAAATCAAAGTACTTCCACAGGGGGGCGCTGGTGAGCTAAATATAATGCAGAGGAACCGCTAATTTCTTAAGTAGAAGAAGGTCTCCACACTGTTTGCGAGGCGGACGGAGTTGTGCGGGAAGAAGTCCGCTATTTCGCGGTTGTGCAGCTACAAATACTACATTGGCGACGCGTGTCCATCGAAATTGTACCATCGTGTGTGCGGACTTTTACAATCAGGTGGGCTTTGTCGTAGCAGAGATATAAAGTGTTTTGAGGAAGGCTGCTAGGCCTCACAGGTTAATCACCATGAGTTACGGTAGGCCTCCGCCAGACGTCGACGGCATGACTTCCCTCAAAGTGGATAACTTAACGTACCGCACGTCGCCCGAGACCCTCAGACGGGTGTTTGAGAAGTATGGCCGGGTAGGGGATGTCTACATTCCCCGAGACCGCTACACAAAAGAAAGCAGGGGTTTCGCGTTTGTGCGGTTCCACGACAAGCGGGACGCCGAGGACGCGATGGACGCCATGGACGGCGCGCTTCTGGACGGACGGGAGCTGCGAGTCCAGATGGCCCGCTACGGCAGACCCCCAGATTCTCACTATGGTGGCGGCGGCGGTGGTGGCGGCGGTGGTGGCGGCGGCGGAGGAGGAGGAGGAGGCCGTCGAGGAGGGCCGACCAGGAGGTACGGCGGCCATGGACGCCGGAGCAGAAGGTAAGAATACGAATTCAACAGCTAGTTAGAGAGCTCCTTTAGTTGTATGGACGCAGACTGAAGAACTGATTTGTTCAGTGTGGCCTTTGTCTAATAACCACTACACTTTTCCTCACAAAACACAAGTTAAGTATTTTTGTGAACCAGTAAGATCCACTCAACTATTCGGCACAGATAAGATAAAAGAAAAACAATTATGAAAATGATTTTACAAAGTGTTAACCTTGTAGATCGGTGTGAGTAGTGACACAACTGCAACTTTGAAGATTTTTTCCTCTAAGTATTCGTCATGTTGGCGGATCATTTGAATGCCGACTTATCCAGGAGCACATGCTTACCCGTAACTGAACAACAGATCTCTAATTTCAGTTATGTAATGATGTTTGAGTCTCTTGGTGTTGTAGATGAGGAGCCACAACTGGAGACATCTTGAAAAACAAGATATTTTCAGTTGGTGTTCTTCAGGATGTTAATGTCATCTAATACGTCTGTTTAATCTCGTAATGAAAAGGTCATCAAACTCAAATTGAGTCTGTTTAATATCTCTTCTGTATCACTTTAGTTCCTTTCAGGAGCACAGGTTACATTTTACTGAGTTCAGTGCCAACTGTTTTCACATGGTAGATGATAACTCAACCCACTGAATGTATCCAGCTCTTCCCCCAGCCCAAGACACAGAAGACGCAGCAGGTCCCGCAGCAGGAGCCGCTCTCGTTCCAGAAGCCGGTCCCGCTACAGCAGATCCAGGTCCCGGTCCTACTCCAGATCCAAGTCTCACTCTCCCAGGAACAAGAAGGCTAAGGCCAAATCCCAGTCTCGTTCCAGATCTAGATCCAGGTCCCGGTCCAAGTCCAAGTCCAAGTCCAGGTCAAGAAGCCGCACCCCGTCCTCTAAAAGAGGGTCCAGATCGAGATCTAAAAGCCAGCCTAAGTCCGCAGCAGAAAATGGAGGGGAATCCCCATAGAGCTCAGCATAAGGTGAGTTTTGACAAGATGTTGCAGTTGTACAGGCAGTAAAAGATTCATTTGGTTACTGCTTTGTTTTCAGTGGCTTTTTTGAAGTTATTAGTGCCAGAGTGGAAGACAGAACAGTTCAAAGTTTTCTGTAGATGGTAAGCCACTTGAGCAGCAAATTTAACAGGTAGACTTTACATTCTAGATCTAGATTAATCAGCTCTTAAAACAAAAAAAAAGTGAAATTATAGCAGTTGCTCAAAGACAATTTTTGCCCTGGTAAAGATGCATCAACGAGGGTGATTTTTTTTATTTTCCAAAGATCTTGATCAGCAACATAAGTTGTTGAATTCATAACCACAATTTCTGTCACACACAGTGCTCATAATTTTCACTGAATACTAAGCGAAGTGTTTTTTAAGAACAGTTCTGATGGTAAACCAAATCTGGAATTTTCTCCTTCCCAAGCTGCGGCATCCTGTTTGCTAAAGCGGAGTTTGAGCTGAGCTGAGGCAGTATGAGCAGTTAGAAGGTATGTGTTGAGCTGCCCACAGGCTGTCTGCTGCTGGCGAGGGTTTCTGTGCAGCAGGGTGGAGACAGTCAGTGTTGGGGTTTGGTGTTGAGGTACGTCTATGTCTGCCAGCGGACATAAAACTGTCCCCCAGGTCTCGTCCCCATTCGGAAGGACGCCCGTACTTGAGGGGCACTGAGGTTTGTCCAACTCTCCTCCAATGTCAGTTTGTTCAATGCCATTTTCCAACTTCTATTTTTTGTTTCACATTTTCAATACCATAGTTGTCCAATCAAAGAATAATAAAGGAAACTGTACGTGAATAAGAAAACCATAATAAGAAAGGAGGCTTTAGTGTCCTGCAACATTTAGCTTTATGCAGCCTCTTATTTTATGTATATTGTGTAGGAGTTCCCTGAACACACCAACCTTAAAAAGCTATTTAGTAATTTTGGTCACAGTCCACCAGCATTCATCTTTTTAACTATGTGAAGTGCTTCCTGTAGGTTAGTGATTAATTGAGCTGCATAGTTATTCATTTTCTTTGTCCAAATCTTGTAGTGAAACTTGAGCTTGTGACGAGAGCTGCAGCCATTAACAATTATTATCGATTAATCCACTGATTATTATCCTATAGTCTCTGTTATCCTAGAAAATATTGAACATGCCCATCCCAAGTGCCCAGATGTCTTTTTAAATGTCTTGTTTCACCTGACCAGCAGCCCAACACTCAAACACATTAAATTTACAGTACGAAAAAGATAGTGTCAAACCCTCATATTTAAGCGGATTCCAGAGAATACATTTCTGCCTTAAATGACTAAAAAGATGTATCAATAAATAGAATAGTCGATGATTAATTTTCAGTCGATCCATTAATTGTTTCAGCTCTACTTTCATTATGTTAGCTTAAAAAACACTGCATCGATAAGGAGCTGGGTGTCCTGGTGGATAGTGGTTTAACGTGCTGACCATGAACTGCAGTGTAACAGGTTTACCCTCGGTTGCCATCTCTTTACTTGTTGGCTGTCCAATAAGGCATTTAATGCACAAGTAATACTTTCGATAAAAGCAAAACGGGGAGCCGTGCATGTCTGAAAGTAACCATGGGAAAAAATAGCAGGTGTGTACAGAAATGTCTCCCAAGATATTGGCCATAGGATGAAATTAGGATATGGGTGCATAGAGGAATTATTGGGAGGCTTTTAATGATGTAGATAATCATAATTACTTTCAGTTGAACTATAAGTTATATTCATATGCAGGTCGAATGCTTCCTGGATTCAATCAGTAAAGTTTTTATAAATTTGTAGTCAAATCACATCACATTGAATATGCACAACTGATTGATATCAGATTTAATAAAAACAACGTGTGATTATTGGTCTAGCGGGTCCTTGTTGACTTTGTGTTCTGTATCCTAACTACTGCTCTTTTGACAGTTTTCAGGTGAAGACTGGAAGCTTCAAGTCCAAGACGGAATCCAACGCAAGCAACAGTGTCGTGCTGTAAAAGGTTATTATTGTGTCTTCCATGCTTTGGTTTGTTTCATTCATTTGGCCACAAAAGGCTTTGTCATTTCATTGATGTGCTGTGATTCTTTTTTTTTTTTTTTTTTTTTTAATGATTTTAAAAATCTGATTCAGTGTGAAGAGGCCGTACTGTTCTGACATGGTTTTGTAATGATGACACAGGATAATACAGTTAAGTTTGTACCAGTTGCCCCTCTGAAGAAGCTTCACATTGATCCTGGATCACCTTTGACAGAAACGTGGTCACTGACTGACTCAATCCAGTGATGAGTACATGAAATAGACTGAATAATCACAGGCCAAGTTTTTAGCTGTTCATGTAGATAAATGGTAATCAGTAGAATAATCCTTTGGTTTAATTATTGTGGCAGCAACTGACTATTACTTTCATTCTCAGTTAATCTGTTGACCATTTTCTAGATTTAGTTGTTTAGTCTACAAAGTGTTTGCCTACTTAAAAGATTAAACATTTATCCAAGTAGTTGCTGCTTTTAATTTCTTTCAATCACTAATCAGTTTAATTATTTCTGATCTAAATCGTTTCATCAAGGTTATGTTAATACTTCTGCCTTTATAGGAAATGTAATGCTTTCATCCATGTCAAGATCCTTCAGAAGTGTAGATTTATTTTCTGGTGTTAGCCATGGTGATCTGTTGTGGTGAATGAGCCAGCTTTGCGATGCCAGAAAGCCAGAGTTAAGCCCAAAGTTAGGTGGCTAACTCATTAACTTGTCTTTGACACAGAGGCGTGGTGTCAGCGCAGAGTCAGGATAGTTTCTTGTTCAACAAGGGATAAATCTAAAAGGAACTAATACACACCTACGTTTTCTTATCAGCGCAAACATTTCATTTAACTGAAGTGATCACAGAAAAACAATGAGGTTACCTGGTTCCTTATGATCTTGAATTTCTGCAGCTCAGGGTTTCTTTGTCAGAGAGGACAGCAGATGATTTTAACTCCTGTAATAAATGTGTTAAATGTAATTGCATAGACAGTAAAATGACAGGTAATCTAAAGTGTCAATTAAAGGACTGTTTGCGGTCAGTAAAAGGTCACACAGATCTACGGTCTAAGCTCATCACCTTAAACCTTTTTTTTTTTTTTTTTTTTTTGTTTGTTTTTTCCTCTCTCCCCCCCAAATCTTACAGGACATGTACTGGACTCTGGAAAAAGTATTTTTTGTTTTTCTTTTAATTTTTGATCCTAATCCTGCTTGTATGTTTGTTTTGTGCACTAGGCGCAGTTGTGTAGCAGTTGAGTATTGCTGGTTAGCTGTTAAGGTGGCGTGTTGCTCTGCTGAGTGCTTGGATGTATCCAGTATTCTCCAGAATGCTCCTGTGACTACCGGTGGTACGGTTGCTGCAGTCTCACCCTTTGTAAGATGAAATGTCCCCCCCCCCCCCAATAATGGTCATGGATGAAAAATGTGACTTTCATTAAAGATTTGGTGTTTTGTCTATAATGGTCTCTTCTTTTATCGCTCAGGGGTGTATATTTACTGCATAAAGTTGTACATGGCAATTACATGCTTCAAAATCAGATGTATAAGTATTGGTGTAAGAAATATTCAGATCCTTCATCAAAAATATGATTACCACACACTGTTAAAATACTCTTGCAAGTCCTGCATTCAAACCCTTAGCTGAGTAAAAGTATTATCAAGGTTGTGCTCATTTAAGCTCATTTATATAAGGTTGGGTTTAAGCTTCAGCAATGCATCATATTCTATAAGATCAACATATGTTTGTGTATTGCTGTCCCGTGAGAACCACATATTTCTAAAAAGTCAACTTAACATGTCGTCAGAAAAACAGCCCTGTGTTCAGGTAAGTGACGATGCATTTTCCAGCTAGTCCAAGAGGGTTTTTTAAATTGTATTGTCAACGCTTCTAGGCCAAGGACACCTTAGCTGAAAGAGAGATGAAGCAGGGACCCCATATTACATATTGTATAATACTGAACTGTGTATTAAATTGGGCAGATGGAGGTTGTCAGGCAGAGGGCCATATCGGCCTCCATCTTGACCTGTATTTGCTTTTCAGGTAGGTGAGCGTAAACTTAACTTTAACAAAGACTACTTGTTGCATAAGGCAAAATATGTTAGATTTATGTTAATATGTAATTTCAGACATTTTGATTTTTGAGAAGAAAAAAAAAAACTTTCAAAAATTATCAAATTTGGGGCCCCCCTTATGATAACTGAGGACCCTCTAGGGATCACGGACCCCCTGTTGAAGAACCAAGGTTTAAGTAGAATATTCTTCATACATAAAGGAACACGTCATCCTTCAGTATATCGCAAGCATTTAATATTAACACATCTGGAAATACATGGGTTTCACAAGACCGGAAGGAAATGAAAAACCTATTTGAAAAGTGAGTAAGGCTGTGAGATGTAGTGGAGTAAAAAGTACAATATTTACTGCTGAGATGTAGTGGCGTAGAAATATGAAGTGGCATAAAATGGAAATACAAGTACAGTTCAAGTACCTCAAAATTTTACTTTAGTAAGTAGGATTTCACACAGGGAGTTTGCTTTGGAGTATTGGTGCGTAACATACACGTATAAAGAAAACATAAATTAATAATATAGAAAGTATTCCAAAAATCTAGAGATATTTATGTAGAGAAGAAAATTACAAAAAAATCAATAATAATAATTACAATATTAATATATCTAAATGCAATGCAAGGGTTGTGTGTTTTGTAGAAGGTAAATGTTAATGCACGTAGTCACGTTCCGCCACTATCATCGAGCAAAATACAACAACTATTTTTCTGGGAACTATTCTTTGGTACGTATTCCTCACATAGCAATATGTTTATTTTTATTGTTTTTAATTGGTCAAACCGGAAGTAGTTTTACTCGCTTGGTAGCTGTAGTGTTACTTCAAAAGATGAAACGCGTATTTTGTAAAACATGAAAATATTTAGTTCATTTGTCAGGTTATGAACCAACGTGGCTGACAATTAGTTATGTATATATACGTCTTGCTTTATGTGAAGAATAATTGCGAAACAACTCACCGGAAGTAGAATCCATTTTCTTAAAACAAATGAAACAAGAACGGGATTGGTGTAAGCCGACTCACTGACGCCGTACTCTCTCTAAATCGAACGTATGTACATCGACGATTCAATGCTAAAGCGCAGTTAGCTAGTTAGCGCACCACAGTCAGCTGATTCATTCACATGACTGTGCTTTCTAGTTTCGGGCAAGTCCTGTTTACCGGTGAAAGTATTCCCCTTAATCTGTTTTACACGACGGGAACCAATTTGCCAAAGTTAGTTTAGAAACCTCACGGTGAAGATGAAAAGCTGAGGATATCGGGACTTCCACAAAGGACTAACTATGTTACTAATAACACTCTGAGTCTGGACAAAGAGGAGCAGCCAGAGAGGTTAGCTAAACAGCTTCAGCGTTATTGGTAAGTTGTTTTCTGTGTCAAACATTTCAGTTATGTCTTGTGACGTTAGACACAAGAAAAGACACTGTTGTCTTGATCCTCGTCTCCTCGGTTTAAGAAATAAACACTGAGACAAACCTCTTAAAAATCTTTTGAGTTAAAATCTCCGTTGCTTATTGTCAGACATAAAGTCTGATAAAACACACACACTTAGGTGCCGTGGTAATGCAAACAATCCACGTTACAATTCGGCATACATCTCACTAACCAATCGATAATCTCTTGGTGACAAAGTAATTTCTAGGCTGTTCTAAGCATTTATGTCTTGACACTTGTACTTATGTATTTGTGATAAAACACCAGTTTTTGAATGAGGTTTGGTATACTACTACTACTACTACTACTACTAACAATAATAATAATAATAATAATAATAATAATAATAATAATAATAAGCTTTTTTCATGTGTTGCAATGAGTCCATTAATGTTGCTTGTTCTGATTTCTTCTTCTCTTCTTCTATTTTAAGATGTGCTGTTCACTCCAGTAGCTTTTTTGTATTCATTCCTCAAGCACTTTGCAAACAAACATCTGCAAAATGACTCCAGAGGGGAAGAGGCTGTTAAACATCATCATCCTGGGCTTCGGCTTTATGTTTATGTTCACTGCTTTTCAAACATGCGGCAACATAGGAGTAAGTTGGAATTTGCTGGTGCACATTGCAGATTGATTCCATTATATTTCAGTCTGAAGTCTTATACTGTCCTTTGTCTTTATTTTTCTTTACAGCAAACTGTTATCAAGAGCTTTAATCACACTGAATTCCACGGGAGCGGATACACAAGGTTTGTAGATTATGTCCCTTGTACACAGTGTCTGAGCAGATGATAGACATTACCACATGCTGTGGATTCAGTTTTGGTTCCCTGTTAATTGGGTTCAGAGTCAGACTTTCCCAGCATCAATACAGACCTGGTGGCACATTCTATAATCAAATCTGTCACACTCAGAAATCCTTGAAGGATAATTAAATCTTCGATAAATCATTTTAGGGAACGTCTACTCTGATTTAGTTGCCATTAGTCTCTCAGGGTTCCAGGAAACATCATACATGACCTTAATCTTGCCACTTACGCAAGGGAAATCTTTGAAAGCACAAGGGAGAAGACCCTCCAAAAAAGCATCAGTCTTTGTCTAAATCACAAAGTATCTTCTCTTCTGCATTTTGTCCATGTGCAGGACTTTTCCACGCGTTGTCCTTTACGATACGCATTAACTGTCCTGTTGTCTGTTACTTTTAGCATGGCCATTATCTATGGAGTTTTCTCTGCATCCAACCTGATCGCCCCCTCAGTGGTGACTGTCATTGGGCCACAGCTATCAATGTTCTTCAGTGGGCTATTGTACAGGTAAGCCCACACTGACTAACACAACCCCTGCTCCTTCTTTTTCATGCAAATCCAGACTCCTAATGTGTCTTGATGTTCATTTGCACAGCGGCTACATCGCTATGTTCATTTACCCGTACACATGGAGCTTCTATACAGCGTCTGTGTTGGTTGGAATAGCAGCAGCAGGTAAAGAGTCATCATCTAATGATCATTTGTAAATAGAGAACACGTCTTCTTCATGTTTATATCTTATGATTTTTTTGTGTGTGCGTTTCAGTCCTGTGGACGGCTCAGGGAAATGTGCTTGCCATAAACTCCACTGATCACACCATTGGAAGAAATAGTGGCATATTTTGGGCGCTGCTGCAGTTCAGGTGACCCTTTTTGCCAACATGTGCCTGAATCTAGTTTTACTGAGTAACTGTGTTATTTGGTGTACAGCTTGAGTTTTGAATGCGTCCCTCATCTCTCTTTGTAGCTTATTCTTTGGAAATCTATACATATACTGTGCCTGGCATGGACACGTTCACATAACAGGTAGGAAGCAATGGCTGCCTCCATATTTATTTATTGCTATTCATAGTTCCCATGCAGACTTCTCATAAGAAGTTTCATTTTAAGCATGTGACTCATGTTGTGTGTCTTAGACAAAGACCGCCAGACAGTGTTCATCTCTCTCACGGTGATTAGTCTGGTGGGTTGCTTCCTCTTCTTTCTGATCCGGAAGCCTGACCCTGAACCTGCTGCTTCCTCTGAGGTGTCAGAGTCGCTGCTGCAGGCTGAATTGTCAGAGAGCTGCTCCACAGCTAGGTGAGTGTTATCGGGATTCACATAAGGCTTGGAAATCTGGAATTCTGTTACTGTATGTCACTTATGAGTCATGGAAAAGTCCTGGAAAATGAAAAAAGTCATCAGACTGTCCTGGAGAGTACAATGAGTTGTCCTTAAAGTTTTTATTATACAACAAAATTACAATAAGGTAAGATTCTGTTTAAACTTTAAAGCCAGCACAAATAAACTTTTATCTGAGGTCAGGGACAAGGTTGACTTCAGTCGTAGTACTCATCATACCAGCTTAATTTCCTTTTTCGACAAAAACAATATGAAACTTCCCAAAACTGTCTCAGTTAGTCTTGTTAGTCAATTAATTAGTTGATCCAGTGTTCCAACAATCACCAGCTCTGGGCAGGTCGAAATAATATGCTGTTTTTTCCTGCAGTCTCTTTCTGTGTGTGACGTTAGCCCACCACATGCAGTCGCCATGTTTGCCAGCTCAGCTGCTGTTCCACCAGAAGAGATTGAGCTCTGATGGTGCAGGCTGTACACTGCATACAGTACATCGCCTCGATACTGCATCTCTGAATCAGTGAGATAGATCCCACAACTTGAAGTCTGCTGAAGAGCATCCCTGCTGAGTAAAATGTGCTGTGAAGGGGAACGTCTCCTGTATCATTTGGGTCAGCGGCTCTCAATTGTTGGAATTCAGGGTATATTATTGCTAAGCTGTGAGGGATTGCTAAATAATTCACGGCACAGGGACCCTGGAACTGACCATTGATTAGAGATATTTATTGCATCACCACTGTTGAGCTGTTGTTAAGGGGCCCAGGATGGCAGTGCCTCTGTTTGAGCCTCTTTTCTGGGATTGTCGGCATGTCAGCATCAAATAACCTTTTTTTAAACATTATTTAACAAGACTTCACCAAAAGACCCTGAAAATACCCTGGATTATTATTATTTTTTTTTTTAAGACAGATGGGAGTGTGGGTCGTCCCACCAGGAGCAGGGATGTATTTTTTTCTTAGTGTAACAGGACGAGGCAGGTGCCCTTTAACTGTAAATGCTATCCTTTGTTGTCTTTTCTACATTTCTCTTTGAAACTGCTGTGATACAGTCGCCATGACAACCAAGTCCAGTTTAGGGATGAGCTGGAAGGTGAAAGTGTCCAAGAGAAAATATGAGGCTGTGAAAGGTCAAAGGACAGAGAGCTTCAAGACAAAAAGATCCATGCAGTTGTGTCACAATGTCTTACCAGCTTTCATTCTCTTCTTCACAGCTCACCTCGCCCAGGCCTCTCATCACAAGCTTTGGATGCTTTTGGTATTTTCTTCATAATACAACCTCCACTTCATGAGCTTTTTCCCTAAGTGTAACACATGTTAAAATCTGCCTTCTTCTTCTTCTTCTTTTTTTTGTTTAGTGAAAGCATGTAAAATGTTTTGCACTAAAGAGATGCTGCTGCTGAGCTTCTCCACAGGATACACAGGTGGGTGAGATGAGAATAAGATGTGTTCAGGTGTGGAGAATGTAACCAATGAATCTGTATTCATGCAGTTTGCTCTGTCTGCTCTGGCAGGCCTGGAGCTCACTTTCTACAGTGGGGTGTATGGGACGTGTATCGGAGCCATGACTCGGTTTGGCCATGATGCAAAGAGTTTAATTGGCATCTCTGGCATCTGCATCGGCGTAGGCGAGATCTTGGGTGAGTCTTCTACGTTTTCAACTGTTTCCCTCTGAGATGTAGTGGAGTGGAAGTATTAAGTTGTATAAAATGGAAACACTTAAGTAAAGTACCCCAAATTTGTATTCAAGTACAGTGCATAAGTAATTGTACTTAGTTACTCTATAGCACTGGTTCAGATGCAGTTTGTCACATGAAAGCACTGCAAAGAGAACAAAGAACAATATCACGAGGCAGCATATAATTTATTTCCTTCTTCTCTCTCCTCCGTCCTGCCAGGAGGGGGTGTGTTTGGGATGCTGAACAAGTGCAGCCGGTTTGGGAGGAATCCAGTGGTACTGCTGGGGCTCATCACACACTATGTCGCCTTTTACTTGATCTTCCTGAACATTGCCAGCGATGCTCCAATCGCACCGGAGGCAGGGACAGATCTGCAGGCCTACATCACCCCCAGGTACAAAGACCACAGCGAGAGGCTCTGTTCAGACCTGAGTAGTTCATTAAAAGAGATGATCAGTTAAACCAGGCTCTCCTCTGTAATTCAGGATTATTTCGAGTTATTATTTGAATCACTGAACAGTTTTGACATGTGGGTGCAGATTCAGAGGTCTGAAACCAGATTAGAAATTCTGTTCCACAAATAAGTTTAAATAGGTCCCTCCAGAACACACTGGTCGTGATCAGGCCAGTTTTCAGTATGAACCAGTGTTACCGTCTGTCTAGTCTCGCCACCAGACAATCAGAGATCTCCGCCTTCTGATAGTCTGGGGACACTCCTTTCTAAAGTGTGTTTAACACACCGGCGAAAACGGCCGGCAACAAAGCAACGCCTCTTGCATTTTTGAAAAGGACACGCCTACTTGGAAATGTGCGCTCCCCCTTTTCTCATCCGCAAGGAAACAAACACACAGAGAGCTTGAAAATGGATGCCGAGAGAGATTTAACTCCGTTTTATCAAATGTGTGCTCATCCGTGAAGAAAATATTTTTTTTCCAGCGGATGTCTTAGTTACAACATGATTGAGCTAACTGGAGTAGTTTCATGTCGTATCCGACAACGGGAGGCTTTTAACAGATGATGTCCTGATGTTAGCTTTGCTGCTGCTGTTAGCTGTCCCTGTCAGCTGCAGCCACTGATGTTTTCTAGACATCGTGATTTCCCAAAACTGAATAAATACCACACATAGCAACACAAAACTGCTTTGCTAGCTCAATCATGTTGTAACTAAGATATCCGCTGGAAAAGATTTTTTTTTTACAGACACCGCTAACGGCTAACAGGGCTAACAGCTAACGGTTAGCCCAACTAAACGAGCACACAGAAATAGTAATGTTTGTTCAATCATTGTGTTTATAGACTTTACAAACATCGGATTAGTCTAAACGGTGATACAGTGATGTGAAAAATGTGATATATAGGCTATATATATATATATATAGCTAAAAGCTCTGCTGGTTTTCTACCCGGAAGTAGAGCAGAGTTACTATTGGTTCTGCAACGTAGGGAGTTTTTTTAAACTCTGAAATTGTATCCGCCCATCTAAACACAAAATCAGGGAGAAAGTCATCAGTCTTTAGTTAAGCAAAGCGTCTAAAGACTGACTTGTGAGTCTACCGTCTGTCACATTGAAATACTGCGTTCTCAAAGTTCCTCTTTTCTGCTGCACTGTGAGCATGAGTCAGCTCAGATTACTCACCTAAATTAAGAATTCTATTATGTTATTTCCAGTCCCAGAGAAGTAAGTCTCAAACTTGTGATGCCGTCAACTGTAAAGTCTGGAGCTGCCCCATAGACAATAAATTGGAGGCTGATTTTGTGGACCCACTGTATGTTTGTTTTCTTTTATACCCAAATTAGCTTTACTTTATTGTTGTGTTCTCAGCTCTAAAACAGAAAATGTTTCCGTATACTCAGAACGTTCCCATGAGTGCTCTCAGTGTCATCAACATCTCTTACCATTCATGTCTATGAAGCAGCTCAAGACTTTATACTTCATGTCATCACAAGTTAGTTTTAGCACTCTAGTTGATTTAGGAGAGAGTTGTTCATGTTTACTAACATATTTTGCCCCGTCTTAGACCATAGGAAAGACAAGTATGAATTTTGAAAATGGGGTTAGTTCCCCTTTAAGGCTCAGACACACCTAACTGACATGATGATTCACAAAGTGAAAACAATAGCAGCCTCATTGTCGATGCTGGTAATTAAAGAAACAGACACCTAGTAATCTGTTTATTAAAGATACAAAAAAGGGGCTGACAATAAATCTAAAGGTATTTTAACAGTAATTCCATCATGTGGAGGCTGTTCTGTCACTTGTACAAACCAAGTAGTATGTTCTTGCTATAAAATGAATGACCGAGAGTCTGAGTCCTAAACAATGCCTCAAATTTGAAATGTTTCATCCTATACATCTTGTACATTCATTTTCAGCACTTATCATGCAAAGACAATAGCTAAAAGAGAAGTTCCAAGTGTTGAGTTCATCTGTACTTGTGCCAAAGAGTGAGCTCAGTGCTGCCAAAAGTTCTCTTTGCTTTGTTTATTGCTGTGGTTTTGTTTTCCTCTTAAGTTTAGCATGTGCTGCTGCTGAGCATCATACATTTGTCTTTACGTGTCTTTTCTTTTTTGTAAATTGATTGATCCATGCGTGATGTCTCAGGTCTGTGTTTCAGAGTCAGGATCAAGCAGCTCTTAAGCCAGGCTTGACTTAATTTAATTTTACTAGGTCTGAGTTGGCTTTATGAGAAACTGCTCAATCCAGATTTAGTTTGATACACAATAAGACCTGCTTATTCTGAATTTCCTGAACCTGTTCATTCATGACTTGATAACATGATGTTGGACATTATTTAAATGTTGCTGTTTGTGTGTTTTGTGTGGCTTAGTGTCGGCGTGGCATTGCTCTGCAGTTTCCTTCTTGGTTTGGGTGACAGCTGTTTCAACACTCAGCTTCTCAGCATTATCGGCTTCATGTTCCGTGACAACAGCGCCCCCGCCTTCGCTGTCTTCAAGTTCATACAGGTGAGTTTTAGACGCAGCTCACTGTGGCGATAACATGAATAAGTTAAAATATGGAATGGAAAATGTGTAAGAAGATATTGAGTATAAATGTATCATTCATTCAGTTCTCCAATTTTATTATAACATGTTTTACTTTCTCTGCAGTCCATCATGGCTGCCTTGGCTTTCTTCTACAGTAACTACCTGTTGCTGCACTGGCAGCTGCTCATCCTGGTCGTTGTGGGTTTTCTGGGCTCCGTGACTTTCTTTTTGGTCGAGTGGATGGCTGAGTCCAACAGGAGGGAGTCAGACTACGACAGCATCTGACTTTTTTCTGGTGAGGATAAGGAGCTGGAGATGTTTAGCTCACCACAGCTGGAAGAATCATCCGGAAATGATGATAATGATGACAATTATGATGAACATATCCCAGCCTCTGCAAACAGAGGCTGATACTGTGGTATATTTGTTTTTATAGCTGGTCTGTATGAAGCCGGTGGCTGCAGGAACCAAACTTAAAGGCAATCTCAACATTTACCTGTAACTAAATCAAAAGGCATGAGGAGGAACTGTGTGAACGCAAGATATACCTCATTTTGGTTCATTCCTGGCGTCTTATCTTATTATTTTGTGCACATAAATTTGAAATTTATCTGAACCAATTATGAAAATATCAGCCTCCTCTGAGGCATGATGGATATAATTAATTACAAAAAAAGCACTTACGATTTGAAGCATGTCAACAGTGACATAAATAAGGGTAATGGGTCCCACTGCTAGTGCCTGTGTGAAGAGATAATAAGGATCAATACTGACTCAGTTGTGAATCAGCTGCAAGTTATAAGAAAAAATGCTCCTACAGCCTGTTTTCACTGGGTGCAGCTATTCCAGCTGCTGCATGAACCGACTTAGAATATAAGTCTGGTGATAATCTACGTATATATTCTATATATTTTTTTCTTGACAACAAAATCCCATGAAAAAACCAAAATAAACTATGAGTTCAGCCTACTAATAAGTGGAGTATATATCAAAGCCTGATATATCTTCTTCCTCTGTGCCATAGAGCTCCATTGTTGTCCAAAAAACTATTAAAAACACATCAGAGAGCCACACTGTTGCACTGGGTAACATGTTGCTGCATAACCATGAACACACACACTGTAGTACACACACCAATACTCACTAGAGCACCAAATGTGGACTGATTTGCTGCTGAAAACAGTCCCTAATAAACTCCTCCAGTCTCCTTGATAAAAAATACAGTGAGCAGCCATTTAAGGAAATTTCTGAGACTCTTTTTTATATATGAAGCTATATACCTGTGAGGTGTTTTCTCTGTAGTTGGAACTGCAGCTACAGACAGGAAGTCAGAAAGTACTGAGAGACGCACTAACACATTGCTCATTTTGGTCTTTAATGGGATTTGATGACAATGAAAAAGTAGAACAATGCCAGCCCTATACTTAAAAAGTTTTTTCCACTCACTCACTTCTGCACCCATAGAAGCTTGTCATACGCACAAATTCCAGAACCTTGATTACAGTGCAGTAGTGACACAACAGCCACCCCTGGGCTCCATACAGCCGCATACTGTTGGTATGCTGTCAAAGATTGGGATTCACTCCACATAAAGCAGTTGTGTTGTGTATCCAGTGCTGTACTTCCCAGATTGTGTTACATGTTAAGCTGCAGTCACAAGGTAGTCACAACTTTGAAATTAAGTTTTATGACAGACATTCTGAAAGTCATTTACCTGCAGAGCCTTCTTTGGTTTCGGCCATCTGACTTTCATTGAGAGAGGTCAGAGCCAATTTGGAGCAAAGCAGTTAAAAGGGAAACATTATCGAGAAACTTTTCATATTTGGTTTGTGAATGTGAAACTTTCACCCGCAATTCTTCTGTTTTGCTGTTTTTCTTCTTTTCTTGTTCCTTCACGATAAACTAAGTGCCATTTGATTGGTTTAGTTGTAATAAGATCCCGCTGACTTTGCATTCCATGAAACGTTTTATAATTACAAGTGGGTGACTGCTTTAGTTCAAATGAAATTAACAGAGGCTCCTTGGACTGAAAAAAAATTGTCCTTTTCCTCTTCTTTCTACTTTTTTCTCATCTCCTCCTATGGAGAATGTTTCAAAGGGAAAAAGAGAGACAATAAAATGGTAAATGGGATAAATTTAACATTTTCTTTCATTTTGTTATTGTTGTTTTTTTGTTGTTGTTTTTTTCAAAGAGTTTTTGGCTGTGCTGGCAGCTTGGCTCTAGATACCAAGTCAAGTTGGTCCACAGCTTTGGTTAAGAGTGAAATATCTCGTCAATGAAATTTGGTTCAGATATTCAGGTTCCCATAACTCTGGTGATAATACTTAAAATCTTGCAGGGGATTTCACTAATACAGAAGCTGTTGAAGTTGTGAAAACTCCAAAACTGAATGGTTCAGTTAAAACTGAATGGTCATAATTGAAGAAGTTGGCAGGTCAAGATCCAGAAACACTGGTTCCTACAATTTCCATAATGTATCTTAGTATCATCTTATAACATTTGGTAAATTTCTATGTCACATGCTTTCTGTTAAAGGTACCCTGTGCAGTTTTTGGCCACTAGTAGTGTATCAGTACTCTGTATGGTCTACTGTAAACGTGTGAGCTGGAAGGTGCCAAAAAAGTAGCAATAATTAATTTTAGTGATTCTCACAATTGGCCTCCTTTACGATGACCTTGACAGCCTCGCAAAGTTGCTGGTGTTGCTGTAGACACTTTGTCCTGTTTTTGTTTTTTGTTTTTTTTTTTTCTTTACTGCTGTTGTCACACGTCACTCATTTTAAATTGATCTGTTGCCAAACCAACACAGTGCTAAATATGGGCCTGAAGACATGTTGTCTTTATGTAATGTTGAAGTGAGAAATGGCAACAAGGAACTCAATCTTAGATGCTGTAGGTTTTTTTTTTGTTTTTGTTTTTTTTTCATTTTGTTTAAAGTGTCAATTTATGAATTACAGCACATTATTGTAGTTAATTTATTGCAAAATGCTCAAGTTTTGTTTCATGTTGCAAATGCAATGGATGCAATCAGTCTCAAGGATATTAAGGGAAATGCATGTGAACTATGAAGGTGATTTTATACTTGAATGTAGTAATTAAGAATGGCGCCTGAAATCTGCTTGCTTGTTTTTATTATCAATAAAATATTATTTTGAACTTAAGTTGTGTGCTTTACCTGGATAAACCAAAAACTGTCCAAAAAAACATTACCATTAAATAAAATTTTGAATCAGATTACACACCTTTTTTTTTTTTTTTAGCTGAAAACGACATATATTATCACACTACAGGACAGGAGCAGCTGCAGCTTACAACAATTTCACAAATTGTACTTTGATGTGTAAAAAAAATCCAAGTTTGCCTTTATCTGACATCCTTCCTTTAAAATGTATGTTTGATTTGTATACACATACAAACAATGCAAATAAAATACAGTAAAATAGAAAATGAATAAAAAGATAACGTGCAGTTGCTGTGTAGGGGTATTATGCGAAAAAAATAATATTTTAAAGACTTATTAGGGTCCGGGCAGCTAAACTGCCAGGACACTATTGTAATCCTAGGTCTTCTTCTTCTTCTTCTTGTTCTTCTTCTTCTTCTTCTACTACTTTCTTCTTCCGAGGAAATCATACTTCCCATGGGTGAAAACTCACCAAACTTTGCACAAAGATCCCGTCTCATGCCAGATATCCTCAGCTGTAAACTCAAGCCAATAGTCCTGATGGTGGCGCTACAGAAAGCGTCTAAAGTTCAAAACGTTGAAAATTCATAACAAATCAACCATACGTGCTACAACTTCACGACTTTCATCAAACTGTAGCCCCAACACTGAAGAAACGTGTACATTTAAACCTATTAAAAATGATAAGTCCATCACTCTGTTCTTTTCAAAAACTGTAAAACTTCTTAAACCTATCTCCTCCCACAATTTTTGCTCAATTGACACCAAACTTGCTACAGAGCATCTTCAGACTGTCTTACACAAACTACGTTTCTCAGATTTTTGATTTATCAAAAATTGAGCCTACAGTGCATCAAAATGTTTGACTGTAAACAGTACTGTAAACATATACATAAAAATTCTTGCTAAATAAATCTTCAATGTTCATGAAAAAAAATGACAAAATTCTAGAGTCATGGTAGATGATGTGTGGCAAATTTCAGAGTTTTATCTCAAAAACTGAATTTTTGACAGCATTTTGAATTTTGCTCTAATGTGAACAATTGGAGTCAGTGTAAAAATGGCAATTTTAAACATCAGTTTTTCACTTATGGAGCAAATCAATCATTGTTACAAACAAATTACCAACATCGCCATGCTGTCTAGATGCAATATGTGTATTTTCAGATTTTTGTTTCGATATTCTTTATTTTTTTACAGTGGTTTGATATATATATATATAATAATCCATCCACTGGACAGGTGTGTCATGCCTTTGGCTGGTGTGCAGTTTTAGTTTTATCTTGAAATAAGTAAAGGTATATAAATGACAAAAGACTATTTTTTATTATTTTATTGGCTGTATTATCACAACGATGGAAGAAAATGTTCCTGTCCAAAGAAAATCTTTTTTCCCCCCCATTCCATGAACGCAGCATGATCTCCGCTCGTTGCCTGGTGATCGGTAACGCCACATAATCCCAATGTGGGAATCCGTAGGGCGAGGTGACGTCAAGTGAGAAAAAATGCTACGTACTACATCCGGTCAAAACTTAAAAATAAAAGCGTTACTGGTGGGGGATTTTCACAGCAGGCCAGTGGTGGAGAAAATATTCAGATTCAAAAGTGCAAAGAGAAGTTGCTTGATTAAAGTAAAAATAAAAAATGGAAACGTGTACTTACAGTGTCAAAGAAGAAAAATGTTCCTTGTGATTGTTATATTCTTCTATATATCATTAGATTATTCTTACATTAATTAAAAACAGGATTTTACTGTTGTAGTTGGTTGCAGTGAGCTCATCTTGGGTTAACTGGAATTGTTTTCATTTTGGATTAATCTGCTGATTATTTTCTCCATTATTCGATCTATTGAGAAATGCTGTCTGCCACAGTTACCCAAAGCCCAATGTTTGCTTTATCCAGCCAACAGTTCAAACCTCAACATTATTAGGCTTCTAATACATTACAATTATCGCAGAAAGGCTGTAGTAAAGTACAAATACGTTAAATCTGTGCCAAAGTCCAGTGGCCTACTGGGGTAAACAGGCTCTGTTTGTGTTTTGAGGGGCTCTATGTTGTGGAACTATGGTGGTCCAGTGCATGCATTTAATATAAATGCATCAGTCTTGTGCTCTTGAAGAAGAGATGTTAGATCTGTGAAAAATTCTTAACGTGTTTTTTTCTCTATAAATTAAATCAAATGTCTCAAGGTTGCCTCGGCAATTAAACCCCACAGAAAATTTAAATAAATGGTAAACACTGGGACTCCCCTATATTAAGAAACTTAAGGATTACTTACATGATTTCCCCAAAACTGAATTAGGCTATAACATCTCCTAAATATGTATAAATGAGACAGATTTAATTCTCCTTAAAATGTTTAATTTAAATGTTTGGAACAAATTCATGTTAAGGAATCAGCATCAAGACATCAAGCTTATAATATTTAACATGAACTCAGGGTACATGTACTCGGTTACGCAGATGTTCCTGAGAATGTTTTTGGACCTCATCAGAGCTTTACTTTGAAAGATAATTCACTGTATTTCCGGTAAACCCGTCTGGTTTGTCGCAGCCGCGGTTGCTGTTTTCTCTTATTACATTCTCACTACAATCAGCTACCGAGATTACCGGGATGCCGGTAACGATTCATAACGTTAGACAAAGACCAAAGTGACGTAAATACATATATATTTTTATACTTTATCCAGTACATGTTCGCTATTAATCAAGGCAGGGGTCGTCGCAAGCCGGATTAGTTAGCTAAAATATAGTTTAAGTTTGATACGCTAGCTAAAGTTAACGTTAGCTTAACTTAAACTAATATACGTTTGTGTTCTCTCACACAAACAAAAATGTCGGAGGAGAATATCAGCTTGTTTGACTTGTTGAATTTATCTATCGGGACACCTGAGAGGGGAGCTGTCAACTTCAGCGCCCTACACGCCCTGCTCCACGCAGTGCTCAAGCAGCTGGGTATCCGAGAGATGAAGACCCGGTGGAGGGACCCTCCTCCCGGCGATGCTCTGATAGGTGTCACCGCTCCCAAAGAGGGCCACCATACAGAGGAGGAAACCGGCACAGAGCTGCAGGAGCGGATATCTCCGACCCCCTCCTCCGTTCAGCTCCAGTCCCGCATCCAGACCTGCGAGGACGACGTGTCCAAGGTTAGAACAACGACTCATCCAGTGTGTTACAGATAAGGACTTTTATTCTGTCAAACACGGTTTTATTTTGAATTTTATATCCCCTACCTGTAGCTGTCCTAATATTTATTTTACCAAATCATAAACAAGACTTTTATCTTTTTCCAAAATCAACCATCAAAACAAACGTTTATAGGCTTAATGAAAAATGAAACTTTTTTCCCTAATCAGATACATCATCAGTATTACATATAGTGATGTAATGTAACTAGCAATATCTACATTTTATCAATTACTGTGCTTAGTATTTTCATGTTGTGCTACGGTATTCTCTTATCTGCGGGAAACATTTTTATTTTGTACATTACTACATTTATTTAGCAATAAATATGGTGCATTGTAATTTAGTGGTGGAAGAAGTACTCAGATATTTTACTTATGTAAAAGTACCAATGTTAAAGTTTAGTAATACCCTGTTACAAGTAAAAGGGCTGCATTCAAAATTTTACTTAAGTAGAAAAAAAATTAAAATAATTTAAAATTAGCATTAACATTTCAGAAAAACATTTATTAAGTTATTGCATTATAATTATTGATGCATTAATGTGTACATCACTATAATATTGCAGCTAGTAAAAATGGAGCTCAGTTTAATGAAATTATGTACTGCTGGGTAGTACAAGTACTTCACAGTATTTGAGTAAATGTACTTAATTACTTTCCACTACTGCTGTAATAGATTTAACTATCCAGCAACAGTAAAAGCAAGGTCATCCAGCTACTACATTCAATGCTACTTATAGGTCCAGTGTGTAGAATTTAGGGGGATATATTAGCAGAAATTGAGTATAATATAATAAGTATGTTTTTTTAGTGTATAATCACCTGCATAAATGTGTCCTTGTCTGCAGAGACTGCCATTTTACAACAGCATTTTTCTACAATAGCCCAGAATGGACAAACCAAACACTGGCTCTAGATAGGGCCATTCACATTTTCCTGTCGACCACTGTAGTGAGCAGCCCCTCCTCGGCAAGAGCGTCAGAAAAGCTGATTCTTAACATTGAAATGCTCTATACCGTGTTTTTACCGGTTTAAATCACCGGGTGTGTTTGTTTTAGAGAGGAGGAGACCTCTGTGGATATTTTGGAAAATGATAAAAACTTCCTGAACGTCTGGATCAGAAATAGGATGAGCACGCATTAAGTTATGAGAGAAGATAGGTTAGCACATGTTAGCTGGTGCTGGGCAAGCGGGCGTCTGTGACAGCATAGGAGAAACACTGATTTGTAACATGAAATTGTGTTATTCAGTGTTTTCACTGCTTTAAATCACTGGGTCCTTTTGTTTTGGAGAGGAAGGAACCTCTGTGGACCTTCTGAACAATACACGCTGAAGGAATTCTAACCTGAAGAAGTTTTGAGCTGGTTGCAAAGAGGCCCCTACATCTCCCCTAAATCTTACCCATTGTTCCTTTAATGCATCTGTAATAATAATCCAAAAATGTATAATAGTTTAACACTTACATGGGGGATATTTATACTATTAAGTACTGAAAGGACATTTTAACTGCAGAATTTTTACTTATGCTGCATTTTTAAACACTATTATTACTTTTGCTTCAGTAAATGATCTGAGTAATTCCTCCAACACAGATCATAAACTGTATTATTATTAAATCAGATACACAGCTTCAGTCAGTTTTTTTATGATTATTAGAGCAGAGAACAAAAGTTAAAAATGTCTTGTGTGTGGGAGGATAATTGTGTTTATTATCATTGTTCATTATTATTTCTGTAGCTGTCAATGAGGTTGTTCTCTGCACAATTCAATATTTTAATAAGGTCTAAGTTGAAATTTGATTTTATCCTTTAAAGTGTCTTCTGCATGCAGTAGATGACCATTGATAGCTGTTGCTTCACTGTTTTCTAGTGTTGAAATGTTCAAATGCACTAGTGGCCACAGCCTGAACAGTGATGTCATAACAGGTGTTTTACTTTTGTGATGAAAGCACCTGCTGTGACATCACTAATCAGGAGACATGCAACATGCTCCAAAATGTTAACCCAGATGGAGCAGGACAGCAGCATTTTCTGTGTGATTTACTGTTGCAATCCATCGTTATCCTGCTCACATGGTTGTTTGGTTAATTCTTTAAAAACTGAAAGACCTCTGAGTCTGAGGCAGCAGTACACTCTTATTCTTTTCTTCTGTATCTGGCGGGCTGCGGTGAATATTTCAGCAAAGTATTAGGCCGCTGATGACAGAACAGAGGACAATAGGAGATGGGCGCCACCCTGACATCTCAAATGACCTCTGCGTGTCTCTGTTCAGGTTTCTATCAGGCCACTTCCAAAAGAGGGGTAGAGAGAGGTGAGGGTTTCCAGTGTTACATAAACTGTCATCTTTTATCTTAAAAAGGCAGAATTACAGTGAAGCAAGGGCAAGAGTTTGATCAGAGCAGAAAGGTGGAGGTGTTTTTTGTGACATTGGCTAAATTTGCCTTCACCGTTTCCTGTCTCGCTCCTGATCACCCTCTCTTTCTCTCCCCTGCTCCCTCTGTATGATGGAGGGTAATTAGTCCCCTGCAGAGATGACTCTGGTTGTCAGGGGATGAATAGCTCTCAGGTGAAAAGCAGGACATCGGACAGGTGCAGGTGATGCTGCGTCTTTCAGAAACCCATCTGAATCATTCATGTCCTCTGTGGGCATCGTCCGGGTCAGCTGCCGTATCCGCTGACTTAACTATGATGAGATGACCCAGCATGCCCTCATTCACCAGTGTCTTCCCCTCTGAAGGCAGAGCAGCCCCTGTGTGCAGCATAACTGCAGTATATACCACATGTCAGGGGGGGTCAGGCTGTATGCCATGGTTCATCCATTAACCTGTCACAGGAATTGTTTTCATAAAAGGTGTGTTTGGCTGTGGAACCCCTCGTGGCAGCTGATGGGACTCTGTAAAAACAGCTGAGTGACGTTTGCTGATCAAAGTGCACCAACAGTCAGGTCCAGTTAATGGCTGACTGCTCAAATAGAGGCAACAGCTTAAAGAGTAACAAAGATAAAGCTTAAGGCTTCTTCACTGAATTATGACTCCTTCTCAGGGGGTCATTTTTCTTGCCCTGTTTTTTGTCAGTAAACAGAATTTCTTTAAAGCTTGTGAACATAATTTGGTGGAATGTTGGGCCCCGGGGCCAAGAGACAAATGCTTAGTTTTTGGGTCAGATCAAGGAGTTTTATAAAGGATTTCTTGAGGGCAGTTTTTACTGGTTTCAGTATTTTCCAATTCTGGTTTATTCCAATTTTAGTCTGTTATTTATTACGTAAAAAATAATTCAAATTATCATCACTCAGTATAATGTATGTCACTGTTTACAGCTGAAATAAGCAGTCAAGTAATCATTTAGTCAATTGACAGAAATATTTATATATTGCAGCAAATATTTCCTGGTTCCAGCTTCTCAAATATAAATACTATTTGGTTTTCTTAGTCTTCAATAACAACAAATGGAATACTTTTGAATTTTGGACTTTTGGATGGACATAAAGATATTTTGCGGACTTTAATTTAAACTTTAGGGAACGGTTTTGGTATCGGCACATTAATTGACAATGAAAATAACTGTTAGTTGTAGCTCTACAACTGCTCATATTATGGGACCGTAAACAGCTTCTGTCCACTCATGCATATAAGCCCATACTGTATATATGGAAAAGGGGGAGACAACGACTGAGTGCAGTGCAGATGTCAATCAACAGACAGAAACACAAACTTGGTGTTCTCTCAATTTTCTCTTTGGTGAAGTTATTGAAACACCTTCTTGGGTGAAAGAAGGATGTCCTGAGTGTAAAAATGTATTTGGAGGAAGGCAAAGCTTCATGTTGAAGACAGTAAATGATGCTATCGAGCCAATATTGTCTGTATTGTCCATCACATTGTCCTCTGTGAATCCTTTGTACAACCCTGCAGTGTGTATGCATTTTTATTGTATAGCTTGCATTTCTTATACTGAAAAACTGCACAGCCCACCTACACACAGGACTAATATAGACGTGAGCATTTTAATACTAATATTTAGTACATATATTCATAATGTTTTGTCTTTCTCGTATTCTGTTATTCTAATTATTGTTCTGTTATGCACATGTGTCTTTTTAGCACTCCCTCAAGGGTGCGCCACTGCACTTATTGTTTGAGCATCATGTGACAAATAAAAACTTTGGATCTTTGAACAGGATGTACAGCGCTAACTGGGTCTGTTACCACTTTGGAAATGTGTCCCTAGAATTGATGCCTGGTTTTAAGTTTCACTTACAGAAAGCAAAGAAACGCATGACTGATGGTGGTGTTATTTAACTTGAGGCTGATAATTAATTATTGCTCCTGGGATTGTGATGATGTCTTCTCTCAAATGTTTATGACAGAGATGCAGATGATTTTTAGAGAATTATTTTTATACAATATGATCATGTGAAAAGCTCTGTGATAGTCTGATGACCTGTCCAGGGTGCACCCTCCCTCTCACCCAATGTTAGCTTGGATAGGCTCCAGCCCCCCCTGTGGCACTGAAAAAGATGGTGGCTACAGATAATGAATGACTGATCATGTGAGAGCAAAAAAAAATTGATTCACTGATGTATCATCTTGCTTGAAGCAGTAGCTAACATAAAAGTGTGGTTTATGGAAACGTGAAACAAAATGGTCATATTTGCTATGCAGTGTGAGGCCACTTATTAACAAGCTGTTAGTCATTCAGGCTGCTGATAAAGGCTGCGAAGCTCTGTGGGGTCACTATGCATCACTTCATGTCCAGGCACATTTGCAACAAGTTAAACACCACCTCACATGCAGCTCAGGAATGTCCTTTGTTTCAGTTGTGACACACACACACACACACACACACACACACACACACACACACATGCACATACACAAGCATGCATGTTTACTGTGCCAACAAACCCTGACAGCCTCACAGGAAATTTAAATAACTTGGTTAAAGAACAGATTATCAGCCTGAGATAGCTCATATGGAACAAGTGTAACAGCTTGAATTGTCTCATCTGCAAACCCTGGATTGAGCTTCACCCTTTGTGTCAGCTTCTGTTGAATTCCTGCCTGCTTTCTTTGGGGTCAGAGGTCAGATCAAGTTTTCCTGTGGGTCAGATCCCTGAACTTTTCTTTAATTTATGCTTTCACAGTGTCCTCAGATCCCACAGAAAGATCAAACTGAGCTATTATATTTGAGTAACTTAAACTTTTTGGCCAATGATTGATTTTCTCATTTGTCTTTCTGTTCTAACTGTAGGTCATGACGCTCATTCAGGAGCTCCACAGCCAAAGAGACAGTATGAGCGAAGAGATGAAGGAAGAGATGAAGGAGCTTTGCCACCAACAGAAGGTAAGACTGTCCAAATGGATTACTGATAAAATATTATCTTAAATATTATTTTGTGAACTGGTAGCAACTGTATAATGATAATCTTTGTATGATAATCTTAAATATTTTTGACATAATGAAACAAGTGTCAAAGCTCCTCTGATTCCAGCTTTTTTATTCGTGAGGGTTTGATGCTTTTCTTTGTCATATGTAAGAGTTAATTAAATCTCTTTTGGTTTTTGACTGATGGTCAGACAAATCTAGACTTGTGAAGACATCACTTGGGCACCACAACATTTTTAACCAATTTGGGATAACAGAACTTTGAAAAGTGAGGGAGGTATGTTCCTCCCACCCCAGTGGAAACACTCTTGCAGATGGGTATTCTCTTTCTGCTGTGTCCAGATGGTTGGTGCAGGTCAAGTAGAGACGCTCAATAATTTGGAGAAGTGCTGCCACCGGGTGGATGCTTTGGAGGACACTGTGGTGAGACGACACAATATCAGCTTTACTCCCCACTGTTCGTACTTGATAGTGTTTACACTGTTGGCTGCATATGATAACATAAAGACAGTTTTCTTTTTCAAATTATTAAAGTTGTTGCAATGATCTATGATCCAGAAATACTGATTAAACAGTGTTTCTGCAGATGAAAATGATTCTTTTAAAATGAATACTAGGCCTTAAAAGTCATTAAATAGCCTTAAATTTGAATTTGTGAGATCTTAACAGCCACAAACCTTTGTCTAATCTCATTCATTCAACTGTTAATTTCTCTTTGTAACAATGAGTCGAGGTCTTCTGCGATACAGTCCACATTTCTGATGTTACAGATCTTTACACCCACCACTGAAACTAATAGTCTTTTTACTTTACACTTGTAGTTATTGGCAACATATAGATTAAATTCATGTATTACTATATTCCTAGATAAAACCTGCCTCTGCACAGGGCCACATAAACTACCTACTTTGATACTTATCTACATCTTTGTTGGAATAAGACAAAAATGTGTCTAAAAATCAGTCCTATATTTGGTTAAAAATGATCTTGAAAGGTTTTCAAAAGCATCAAATGTAAGTGTCTAACACTTGTAGATACCCTGTTAAAGTTTCATCTTCTCTGTTGTTACTGTGACAGAGATCTCTAAGGGTCACATTTCAAAAGTATCCAGACCCAGAGGAGCTGAGCAAGTGTGTGACCTGGGACATCATGCAGTCAGCTCTGCTCAGTGACAGAGAAAACCTGCAGAAGGTGAGGTCCAAAGGTGGTTTGAGAAGTGCTTTCAGTGTCAGACTTGGATAGGAAACCCCTGATCTGCACTGAGTTTGCATCAGAAATATTTCTCAGACCGGTGACCCCAGTGATGCTACTTATGTGACTGATAAATCAGAAATCAACATCCAGAATTCCTCATTTTGAAAGACCTCGACTATTCACAATCCAGCTGCCTATTAGCTTTGATATCCCCCAGAATACAACATGATATGATGCAGTATATATTGGCTGGTGTGACATTTGGTAAGCCAAAATGATTGACGCCAAACCTAAAAGAAGTTTGTTGAAAGACCTGTGACACCAAAAGACATTATTTGATAACATCAGAGTTAGATGATGTGCTTCTGCTTTCACATACTTTTTCACTGTATTTACATTGTAGTGCTATGATTCACCGAACATTTATCACACAATCTGACAGCCTCACATTGATATCATACAGTCAGGCACAGATTGCGACCACAATTTCATTAGACCATGTAGGTATCTTCCAGAGTTGCTGTTAATCATGATCTCGTATCAGTCTTCATGTTTATATGGATTTGTGACTGTTTCTTGTTTTAGTTTTAACCACCAACAGACTGATGAAAACACATTTAGAACAAAATCTATTAAGGTAACAGTAACCTAAATGACCCAGACACCTGTGGATTGCCTCAGTCTTGTTTAGCATGTCTTTACTTTTTTACAGGAGCTCATAAAGTCAGAGGTTGTTGATCCAGCCACATACGGACCTTTCAACAGCAACTTCACTCCTGTAAACTCTGCACCTTCTCATACCAGCATGCCCTCCTCCCCCCATCCTGTTGAGGATACCAGTCAGCGATCAGCTCCTAGTTCTCCAACGATTCCTGGACAGATTTTGACAGACACCCAGACAGCCACAGAGGCTCCTTCTGTCCTGTTAGGGCCACCACAACAGACTCATCCTAAAATAGGCTCAATGGCTGCTGGTACATCCCTAACTCGAAAGGCCGGCAGCTTAGAGTGTTACTCGGAGACGGTGGAGGCCCTAAGAGACATCGGCAAACTGAGAGAGAGGTTCAGCAAGCTGGAGGCTCGTGTTGCAGCACTTGAGGAGGGAAAGGTGGACCAGTCACAGCTGACACACCTTAAAGAGCTCATCACTAATAAAGGTAACTTTCTATAACCTGATGTACCCTGGTTGTGCCCCTTTAGTTATCTGTAGAGTGTTGACTGAGTTAAAGGCCCTGAAATCTTATTTTCTCAGTCAGCTCTTTATCATGTATGAAAAGGTCATGCACACACACAAAATTTAAATCTTATTTCATATGACAGACTTCTATGTTTTTGGTCTCTATGTATAAAAAGGGAAAAGACAATCATAGAATAACTGTCTCATACATACAAGAATCTTACAAAAAAAGAATGCATCACATTTTTTAAGCTTGACTTAAACACCAAAATCGTCCATGTGTCCTGGTAGATAATTTGCTCCAGTGCTACCAGCAGCTCTTATGGGAATAGCTTGACGTTTTGGGAAATTTGCGTATTTGCCTTCTTGCCAGGAGTTACATGAAAAGATTGATACCACTCTCATGTCTGTGTGGAGACTGAAAACAGTGTTACTGTTTTAATCAGTGAGCTCTAGAGGTATGCATAGGTGGCTTTTCTTACCTTTGGACAGAGCCAGGCTAGCTGCTTCTCTCTGTGTCTTGTCTTTACGCTTAGCTAAGCTAAGCATCTGTTGACTGTTGCTTCATGTTATCCATACAGACATGAGTGGTGTCAGTCCTCCCTGCAACTGCAAGAAAGCAAATAAGCATATTTCCCAAAAACATATGTATTCCCTTAATTGACATATATTGCTTGCCTGGTATCAGATGGAAATGGCAACTTGTTACACTCAGTTTCCATCTTCAGTCAGATATTTCCTCCACTCCCAATTTCTGTTGGGGAGAGGGATTCAGTATTCCCTAGCCAATCACTAGAGACCAATGTATATACCTGACTTTAATATCCTTTTAAGTCCACAGTGATGCGTATAGGGTGCCAGAGTTTTAAGAATGGAGTGGAACTAAGTAAAAAAACTACAAAACTACAATGTCTGGCAACTTTTAATCAATTTAGAACAGCCTCACTAGCAGTGTATATCTTGTCTATAGCATTGTTGTTATTACTTTACAACACTTGACAGTAGTGTTAGCCATGCCTGTGGAACTGATGGTGTAATCATTTGTCCTCTGCAGAACTAATTAGATCTATTGCTTTTTTCAAACTGCTGTGTCATGTCATAATGCCACACAAACCGATCAACATAATGCATACATGAAGCAGGAAACTTTAAAAGATTAAGTTTAAATTGACTAAATCTTGTTTTGAGAGAAGTTATTTCCCTGACTTATACTAATGATACTATATTTGCCATTTAGTTTCACAGGATGTGTTGAATAACCTGATGGATCAACTGAACCAGCAGAGAGCTTTAATAGACAGCCTGATGAGAGACCGTGAAAAGGTGAGTAAGAAAAACAAAACACAATTTTTTTCAAGGCAGCAAAATACAATCCAGACGGTTTCCCGGCTGTCTTAACATCAACATCAGCAGCACCAGGACAAGCTCCTCAGTGTCACATACTGTCTTTTCTGGTTCTGATATAATGCAACCCACAGTGCAACACAACCATCATCAGTTGGATGGGAAATTTTGTAGTGTTATGCTAGTTATTTTAGTTGATGAGCATCAGGCTACAGAGGTCTCGCTTCTTTCAAACTCCACACCTCTGGTTATTCTTTATATTCAAACTTGTAGTTTTCAGCCCCAACCAACCCTGACTCAAATGACATCAGTTGTAGACATTTATCAGAGTTCACACAGCTCCCTCTGAACACACTAAAGGATTTATACACACACAGTTAGGTGGAAAATCAGTTTCCCTTTAGGCACACATTTTATTTTCACAAGCTCTTTTTTTGCAAAATAATAATTTCTGTCATATAGATAGGGACAAGTAGGAAGATGCTGTCATGAATATTAAAGCTTAATTGGTGGCAGCTTTAACAAAGATGTAAATTCAACAGGTGAACCGACAGAAAGACACACATCATTTTGGAAGATGAAACTGATTTTTTTTAAACTTCTGATAACTCCAGAAACCATTACATTTGATATAATACCTGTGTCTAAGGCTGATATTTAAGCACACATGCTTGATGAAGACTCCCCATCAGTTCTGACAGGAAGGGCGTCCCAGGTGAGAGTGGTTGAGGTCACAGTTGGGTTCTTAGTCCACATGAGACATCTTCAAGAATTTATAACAAGCCCAGTTTTCTTTGACTCAGCACCTGTAGATATCCCATGACCTGAATGACTGAGACTCTTCACAAACATAAATGTAAACTCAGTTTTAAATTAACCAATACAAGTCTTTATAATTACAGAAATTTGATAAGTTTAAATTTGTCTGGTTAACATTCCGGCAGGTGACCCTGTGTGCAGATTTAGAATCATATGTTGTGCATGTTTTAATTTACTGATGCAACACTTTCAGTTCACTTTCGGGGGAACTTATTACTAGCTGTGACTGCTATATATTTTAACATGACTGTGTGTGTGTGTATAACTGTGTGTATGTGTGTGTTTGAGAAGGTAGAGCTGGTGAATGATGTGCAGAAGGCGATCCTGCAGCTTCAAGCAGAGTTTGAAAAGCTGCATGAAACCGCCAGGTGTCTGGACGAAGACAGTAGACAGAAACAGAGTCACATAGAGGTAAACAAACAAACGTTAGCATCTTTCCATGTATATTTGTCTCTGTGTAATAATATCAGTTATGACGTACTTTTATTACTTTAATCACATTGTTTGTTGTGATATTGATATTGATACTGAAAATATGCTAATTATTGCATTATTGATCCATCCACTCACTACAGAATGTCAGTGATTCCCAATCTTTTTGGTTTTTAACCTGTTTTTCTGCTCTCCACTTCATTTAATTAGGGCCCGAGCAGGTCACAGACCTGTGAGGTCCCTATTGTTTTTCTCCTGATTATTAGGGACCGAGCCTAGAGGCAGAGGACTGCTCACAGAGCAGTCCTCGCCAAAGTCGAGGACCCTATTGTTTTTGGTGCGTTTATTTTTTCTTTCTCCCGCCGCTTCTTTGAACTGGAATTTGACCCCTAAACATGCTTAAAAACTCACCAAAATTGGCACGCACATCAGAACCGGTGAAAAATTTTAGAAAATCATGAAATTAACCCCTAAAGTGCCAAAATGGGCTCTCTAGCGCCACCTAGGCACACAAAAATGGCCGCTACGGCCTGTAGGAACGTCGTAGAAACATGAAACCAAAACTGCCGTGTTCGTCTCATGAAGACCTAAAAATCACGCGCTGACACCCCTGACCTAAATCCAACAGGAAGTGAGCTATTTGCCCTTTCAAAGTAAGATTTTGCCTTAAAACTGCCTTTCCTAAAAAATCTTCTTGTCATACACCGTTTATCCTATTGGCTTCAAACTTGCACAGATGACAGATCAACTCCTTCTAATCAGATCTTATTTATAACTTTTTCATTACTCGATTAGTTTGGATTTTATGGCCTCCTAAAGGTGAGATGTCAGAAAAACGCCCTGACGATCTTCGAAAGCTGTCCCATAGGAAATGAATGGCAGCAGGGGGGAGAAAGAGACCAATCTTTGTGCTTTTTCTAGCCTTTACAGCGTCTCCATACTTTGTGCTACAGACTCCATTCCAGCTCTCAAATGTTGCCACAGGTCTCATCTATTCACTCATGTTTTCATCTTTTTCATATCTTTTAC